GATAAATATGATGATGACAAAAAGAAATCCAGCTACAAACGATCTGCCTCCCCAGGCGACAAAGATGATGATTACTATGGCGGCAAAGACGATGATTACTATGGCGGAAAAGATGATAAATATGATGATGACAAAAAGAAATCCTATTATTAAAATGTTTTTTGAATAGGTTTTGCATAATATTAATTTAGTTTCCTTTCCAGAATTTTAATTTTAAATTATTTGTAAAAAAACGATTTTATTTGAAAAAAATGTGAATAGTTTATTTTTTATTTGTAAATTTTTTTAAATTTTTTGAATAGTTTTCCTTCCCCTTCCCACCCCACCAACTCTTATTCGATAATGAATTTACCTAGTTATCAAAAACTTTCAACGTTACATGATTTTTTAATTCTTCATTTGTGAAATAATATTATAATTAATAAAACTAAATATTCCAGGCTAATTTTTAAGATTCTTCTCGTCTATTTTTCGTGTCAAAATTTCTGTGCCATTTTATCATGTACAGTATATGACATTACGATTACCTCGATTATCTCTAAAGAATATTACATACTGAAACGATTAACAAGTGGTCAAATTTTTTTCAATGTACTAGATTTAAATCTATGATCGTAAATATTTATTAATATAGACTTTTGAGCGCCAACCATTCCAAATCAAACGAACATTTGATTCCAAAAATTTCGTAATTTATATAAATTCAAAGAAGATACGTGATTGGGCGGCAAATACAATTATGTGATGTCTCCAAAAGGATTAAAACAATATTATTTCCGATTAAAAATTTTAAATATGTTTTATTTTATCAATTACATCCAATTGAAGACTGTTCGGTTGTAAAAATATGTGCTGCAGCGATAATAAGTTGTGTAATTTACGTGACCGTAATATAATAAGTTAAATTTTTAATCAATAAATTATCTAATTTGAATTATTAAATTTAAAGTAAACTTTAGCGTCTTTAGTTATTAATTTAATATGTTAACAATCACCATCGATTTATATTACTGCGGTGCTGAAATAATTTCTTTTTTATCCTTTTTTTGTATCCTCCTTTTTCTTATTTTAATTTTTTATTATTGTTAAACACCAATAAATACTGGTCAAATCAATATAACGAAATACGTACTAGTACATAATACAAAACTACATTATGACAAAATTTACGTTAACTAAAAGTTGCTTAGAAAACCTACTATCTAGACTAACTTTATTTCTATGTACAGTATGCCGCCGTACGAAAGATCGGCCATCTTCTACTCGTAGAAATAGATCAATTTATAGTATAATAAACGAAGAAATAGTATCTTCTGCTAGACCAACAAGTAATAAAAGAAAACTAGTAGTTTGTAATTGTCCTGATTGTGATGGCAACTTGGTGGATTCTCGCACAAAAGAAGTTCACGATTCCAGAATCACCAAGATCCGGCTGTACCACCCGTCATGCTAGTAAAGCATCTTATTACTAATCAACTAAAACTAGATTTAACCACCTTAAAAACTAAGTACTCCTAATATCCATAGACACAAGTCACGCAACCCACAAAGTAGTCATCAATGCGATCTGCAATAGTGTCGTGAGTTCGGAGTTCGGCTAAATTTCCTCCCGATGATCATACCGCAGAAAATGATTTATATCGGCTAAATTTATGCCGATCCTTTTTTTTTATAACCGTGGAATTCTTTTGAAACAAACTTACTCTTAACAAAATTTATGAGTTTTAACAATGAAAATCAATTAGTATCTAAATTTGATAAATTAAATATTTCTGATAAAGATCTAAATTCATCAAAAATTAATCATGAAAATTGTTATGACCCAGATAATGACAAATTTTGGTGTAAAGAATGTGTTCGTTGCATAATTGAAGGATGGACCAGTGGAAATGATGATATTGATAATTTTATCAAGGATACGATTTATGATGTACGTTATGGGGAACATACTGGTAATTGTAAATATTGTCCAATATTTCTTGAATGGGTTTCCATTTGATTGATTTAAAGATACGAAACAAATAGGTGAAGGTGGATTTGCAAAAGTGTATTCTGTAACTTGGATTGATGGTATGGCAAAATATATTAAACAAGATGATGGAAATTGGATAAAAGAAGAACCTAAATCCATAAAAGTTGCTTTGAAACTACTAAATGAATCACAGAATATGTCAGCTGATTTTTTAAATGAGGTAATTTTTCCGATTGGATTTGATATTTTTAAATGTATCAGTTTTTCTCAACATAATTATTAAAATTTATCTAATTTATTTTAATTTGAATAATAGCTTGAAACACATTGAAAATTAAATTGTTTACAAAGTAATTCTTTAAAGTTTTATGGAATAACTAAAGATCCAGAAACTGAAGAAATTATGATGGTCTTGCAATATGCAAAAAATGGAAATTTGAGAAATGTTCTTTCAAATAATTTTAACAAAATTTTATGGAATGAGAAAATTAATTATTTACGTATGCTAACATTGGACCTTAAAAATTTACATGAATTTGGATATTTTCATAGAAATTTTCATAGTGGAAATATATTAAATAGTGGTGGAGCTTCTTATATATCAGATTTTGGATTATCTGGACCATCAAATAAACAAAATTAGATAAGATATATGGTGTGTTACCGTATATTGCTCCAGAAGTTTTAAATGGAGAACCATATACATTATCTTCTGACATTTATAGTATTGGTGTTATTATGGCTGAATTATCAACTGGAAAACCGCCTTTTTATAAAAGAAATCATGATAATAGCTTAGCATTAAAAATATGTAATGGACTCAAACCAGAATTTGAAAAAGGAGCATTTTCAGAAGACAGTGAAGGTATTAAATTTTTAAAAATAATTAAGATAAATGACTAATTTTACTTAGGGAATTGCTAACCGTCGCCTGGGCTGGGTTTTTTTTAAATATGTCACGTGATGTACAATATATAGTAAATCGGCTGATGGCTGATTTTTTTAACTTTTGATCGGTTAAACTTAAAATTTTATTGCGAAGATATTTTTTAAAAAGTTTTTTGCAAACACATTTATTCAAAATAATCTTATTTAATGAAATTTTATTTTATTTGCAAATATTAAAATTTAAGTCACACATTTACGATTTTAAAAAAAAAAATCACCGTATTTATTTTTAATGAAGCAATACAAATAAAAAAAACAATAACAATGATAACAATAAATAAAAAAGATAAGTAAATTATAATGATCAAGGAGAAAGATGCTAATAAAAAAAATGAAACAACAATGGAATAATGGAAAGTAATAGAAAATGAAAAAGGGTAATGAGAAGTAATAGGAAACAAAAAGGAGAAATAGGACATGATGAGAGATGAAAAGGAGTGATGGGAGGTAAAAAGGAGTGATGGAAGACGAAAAGAAGTGATGCGAGAATGAAGAGGAGGGAGAGGAGTGATGGGAGACGAAAAGAAGTGATGAGAAGATGAAGAGGAGTGATGGGAAGATGAAGAGGAATAATGTGAGACGATAAGGAGTGATGAGAGACGAAAAGAAGTGATGGGAGACGAAAAGAAGTGATGGAAGACGAAAAGGAGCGAAAAGAAGTGATAGGAAGATGAAGAGGAGTTGATGGAAGACGAAAAGGAGTGATGAGAGACAAAAGGAAATGATGGGAAGTAAACAGGAGAGAAAAAAAGATAATAGAAAATGAAAAGTTTTAATAGAAAATAATGGGAGACGAAAGGAGAAGTAATACAAGAAATAAAAAAATGATTATGATAGGAGATTGGGTAATGATAGGAAACCAAGTAAAAAATAAAACCATAAAGTAAAAAAAAAATTGAAGTTAGTAAGGAACGAAATATAAGATAGAAACGAAATAAAAAATAAATAAATAAAAAATAAAAAAAACATACCTTTATTAATTGTAGAACCGAAAGAACTAATATATCTAAAAAAAAATGAAATAAAATTATTGAAAACCGAAATATGAAACAGAAACAAAAAGAAACGAAACGTAAAGTGAAAAACAACTGAACCTTAATTGCAGAACCGGAAGGACTAAAGGACCTAAAAATAATGAAATAGTGTAGTAAGAAAGTGCAAGCAGAATGTAAGTTAGAAATAAAAATAAAAGAAAAGAAAAATACCTCGCGATCATGTGGCCAATCTGGCCAATCAAAAATATTAAATCTGTCACGTGATCGAGGACACAGGCGACAATCACCCAGGCGACATCGCGGTTAGCAATTTCCTTTTATTTATTATAATAGGTTGTCATGATTCAAAACTAAAGGGTGAGTGCTTATCTATTTTTATGATGTTAAATAAACTAATAATTTTTTAAATAATAGATGATGATGATGTTGATAACTAATTCAAAATTTTATACCTAAATATTGTTTTTTATTTATTTATGGTAAGAAATGATGATTTTTTTATAAATGTATTATATATGTAATATTATAAATGAAAAATTTATTTTATGACTTCATAATTACTATTTTTATTCCTTACTTTGGTTCTATTGTTCTAGTTATTCTAGTTTCTATTTCTACGAGTCATGTTTAAAATAATAAAATATCTAAGAAATATCTTTTAAGATAATTTTCAGAGAGAATTGACATAACAATAGTTTTATTGCAGACTTATTAAGAACAAAAAAATTAGATTTATTTTATTTTATCAAATATTCTTTGAACGTTCGATTACCAAATGCAACTAAGAATTAAGTACATCTGATGTTTTTGCACAGTAATGATTTTATACAATAAATATATTTCATTATCAAAGAATTATAAATTATATGGTATTTTTCTGTACTGTAACTCATTTATTCAAGAAGTCACGTTTAATATAAGTAAAAACTGAACACGCTTTTTTTTATATTTTCGTTTTTGTTAGTTGCATTATGATGAAAATTTTTTAAAAGACTGGAACGATAATTGAAGACCTTTTTTAGATATAAAAATAAATTGGATTGTATTTTAAATTTCTGTAACATTTAAAAATCCATATGACAAGCTTTTTTTCCTGTATAATGTTAAAAGTTTATTATAGTGGTATTGTTCTCTTTTAATTATAGAAATCGTTAAACCCCCGAAGAAAGAAAAATTTCTAAAATAATAACAAATTAAAGTATCTGTAATACTGCACTGTATAAGTTTATTTCAAAAAGGTTAGTGTAAAAGTGGTATGACTTTAGTACGTAATTTGATGGGTTTACATCATTTATTTTTTTTTTTTCTCTTTTTCTAATGAAATTTGTAAAAACTTATTATTTTGTATCCCATTTTGTTAAAATAAACAGGGATAAAATACATACTTGTTATTCCATGGGTATCAATGAATAACTGAAATATTCACCGATGCCTTGGGGGCCCCCGAAGGGCGAAGGGAGGGGAGCATTGGTGTATATGGAGTAGAGGTCAGCATTGACCACTATTTTACAACCCGGCCCGGCCCGCACTTGGAAATTAACATAAAGTGCCCGGCCCGGACCGGACCCGGACTTTTATTATATTATTTTGTTGTAAAAACAAAAAAAATTGGCCAACTTAATTTTGGCCAGTTTAATTTCGGCCGGAATTAAGACGATTTTGGCCAGAATTACGAAAATCCGGGTTTAACGAAAATTCATGTGCCGGCCCGGACCCGGCCCAGGTGAATTTTGAAGAAAATTTGCCGGCTTAAACCCGGAGCCGGGTCCGGGCCGGGTTAGGGTTTCCGGGTTCCGTGTCCCGTTTGCAGACCTCTAATATGGAGTATTTATTAGATACCGGAATAACAGGTTTAGCTCATTGTGTATGGCGTATACACCGATGGATTTTATACTTTTTTATACTTTTTATATACCGGTGGAATAATTTACAAAAAAATCCATCGGTGTATACATAGTACCGATGGGATAATATATAAGTTTATTTCGTGTGATAGTTAAAATTATTTTTATTCAACATACATTCATTATTTATTAATTTATTCAAGAGTAAAAATTTCCATTCTATAGCTTTTTAATTATGTGAAACATATTTAATTCTTGAGAAATTTTAGTAAAAATAAAGAAGCTTTATACATGTAGTATTGCGAATAATAATTTACGTAAAAATGTATAAAATTATTGTATATTATTAATACATAAAATATTTTATGTTGTCAAGTGAAGGTTTATTATTTTTCTAAATTATTTAAATACTCGCCTTTTCTAATTTTTAATTTATTATAAAAATTAAGTAATACACAGTAGATATTATTTACTTTTTACTATAATACTAGGAAACGGTAACCGTTGATGCATCCAAAGCGTCATAAATCACATGCTCATAAATTTAAACTATAAACTATAAAATGTAAGAAATCAACAACACAACGATCAAAAATTCAGTGTTATTTATGAAATCAATTGTTTTATTTTTTTATTTTTTATTTATTTTTATTTTCAATTAAAAAACATAAAAAACGTGTAAAAATTATAAGAAATTAAAAAATTTATTTGTTATTTTTTGAATGCCCTATAAAAAAAGAAAATTCGGAATTTGTCCTGAAAAGTATGGAAAATGTCCGGAAATTTCCGTGCGTCCGGAAAACATTCGGAAATGGTCATGTTTTGGAACATTTAATTTTAAATCAGGGGACATAAACAAAAAGTGTTATATACGTAAACAAATTTAAGGTACACCTGATCCTAAGACTTTATTGGTCATACACGTGTGCGGACAGACAACACATGCATGGTTTGGAGTAGAATAATGGAAGTGTCCTACGCATACGCTTCGGACAATAAGAATTTTAACTATTTTATTTCAAAATTCGACTTTTTTTATGATATTGTTACATGAGATCAGACTCAGAATTTGTTACTATTTTACGTATTTATAAAGAAAATTCTTTTATAATAATTTTTAGCATCAAAAGATTAAATAATATTTTATTGTTAGTGATAGTGTTATTGGATATTCAAAAAATGATTTGATAAATTTGCAAAAATATTTACTGTAAAATGATATTAAAAATTAGAAAATTTGTATTGTAAAAAAGTATAAAGTATATCATATATCATTTTGAAAATAAAATAAGGATTAAATTTTACTATAGAGAGAGCTTTTAATTAATATAAAAAGAAACTATTATGAGTAAAAACCTAAAGTAATTCTGTTTCCTTGTCATTTATGAAATTGTAATGTACTTGCATTACGCCTTCATATATGTTAATTTAAAGAAAATTATGTACTAAAAGAAAAGGTCGTAAAAAATTTTTGAAGAATTTTAAAAAACGATCTTTTGAATTTATTTTGCACTTGCAAGTTATCGTTGTTTATTTTAGTTAATTTAGAAAATATTAATACATTATTAGCTTATAATATAACATCCTGTATTTATAGATAAAAGCTGTGATTCTTTCTAATACAGAATTAGTTTTAATTATTATTATAGTGATTATATTATACTTTTAGTATATCCATATTTAAATTAGAAACTGAAAGTTATTTATTAGTACGTTGAGATCTAAAAAAAAATACTGCTCTTATTTTAACATCATGTAAAAGTTTTAATTGATGGTAATATGCTAAGCTAATAGGGAATGAAAAGAAATGTGAATATTTTGGTTGGGATGACATTATTGAAAAAATGATGAAATGTTAAATTGTATATCGTGAAGTACTAATTGATAAAATGAAAAAAATGACAATAATTGGAAATTATCAATGTATTTTATTATTGTGATTTTTCGTATTAAAAAATTTTAGGTCATATGACTTGATTGCTCATTTTTAGGCAATTCGTGAAGTCACATGTTGAATTTGCTTATTTATATTAATAAAAACCTTGTGTAGAGCTATTATAAAAATTTTGACTTTTCTTATTACCTATATATATTGCTTGGTGTCCTGGTTGCAGCTAGTAATTTATAATAAAAAATATATATATAAAAATAATGAAAATATAAATTATTTAGTTATCACTATTTCCGTCTATTAATAAAAATTAGTAATAAAACATTAATAATACGTTTTTTATTTTACATCATGAAATTAATATCATAAATATACTAGTGGATTATATTTACCTTTTAACTTTGATGTGTTAGGAATCTCAAGGTCAATTAATTGAGAATCTTGACAACCTATTATAATAAATAAAATTAGTTATTATCTTAATTATTTATAAAAATTAAATAATAATACAAAATGCAGTACCTTTATTATCTTCTTCATTAAGATATGTAGTAGTAATAAAAGATGAATTAATGGGTTTTGACAAATTTTTAAATGTAAATGCTCTACTAGTATAAATGGCATCAGGCTTCTTTTCATATGAGGTTGAAATATTTGGTATTTCTTTATCAGCTTCTTCAAATATAGCTTTAACTTCTTCTCCTTTATATCCATATTTTTCATTATCTTTATGACCATTCAAACAATCTAATATTTTATATAATTCATTGGCTGTTGGCCTTTGATTTGGATTAGCATTCATACATCTATGAGCTAATTTCTTATAAATTTCGGGAGTTCCTTTTCCAAATTCTGGTCTGAGTCCATTACATATTTTTAATGCTAAACTAATGTCATGTTTTCTTTTATGAAAAGGAGGTTTTCCAGATGATAATTCAGTCATAACTACACCAAAACTATAAATGTCAGAAGATAATGTATATGGTTCTCTATTTAAAACTTCTGGAGCAATATATGGCAATACACCATATATTTTATTATCTAAGTTTTGTTCATTTAATTGTCCGGATAATCCAAAATCTGATATATAAGAAGCTCCACTAATATTTAATATATTTCCACTATGAAAATCTCTATGAAAATATCCTAATTCATGTAAATTTTTAAGATCCATTGCTGAAAAGTATAAATATCTAATTTTGGTGACCCATAAAATTTTGTTAAAATCACTTGAAAGAACATTTCTCAAATTTCCATCTTTTGCATATTCCATAACCATCATAAATTCTTCAGTTTCTGGATCTTTAGTTATTCCATAAAATTTTAAAGAATTATTTTGTAAACAATTTAATTTCCAATGTGTTTTAAGCTATTATACAAATTAAAATAAATTAAATTAATCTTAATAATAGTTATTAAAATTATAAATAAGTACATATGATAAAAAAAATACCTCGTTTAAAAAATCAGCTGACATATTCTTTGATCCATTTAGCCTTTTCAAAGCAACTTGCATGGATTTAGGTTTTATTTTTATCCAATTTTCATCATCTTGTTTAGTGTATTTTGCTATACCATCAATCCAAGTTGCAGAATACACTTTTGCAAATCCACCTTCACCTATTTGTTTCATATCTTTAAATTTATCAAATGGAACCCATTCAAGAAATGATGGATAACACTCTCCACCTACATTATAAATCGTATCCTTGATAAAATTATCAATATCATCATTTCCACTAGTCCATCCTTCAATTATGCAACGAGGAACACATTCTTTACACCAAAACTTTTTATCATCTAGGTCATAACAATTTTCATGATCAATTTTTGATGAATTTGGATCTTTGTCGGAAATATTTAATTCATTAAATTCAGATACTACATTATTTTTAATATTAACACTCATTTTTGAATTTTATAAGCATGTTTCAAATTTATGAAAAAGAATTTACGTTCGCAAAAAAAAAAATGGCGTTTTATATTTAACTAAATTTGGATATTCAATAAAGATAAAAAAGGAATTATTTCGTCATTGTAGGATCGACAATTTTAATATAGATCATCACAGCGAATTTTAATAACTAAACGGCCTAAACGCTATAAAGAGTTTGTTTTACATTTTATTATTATTCTATAATTAAAAATTTTATTTTTCTTGTTAATTTTATTGATAAATGAAATATAACCTTTTAAAAGTCTATCAATTAAAAAATTATATTATGCGATAATTTACTCATTGTTTAACTTAGTTAACAAAATTTTGTGAAACATTTTCATTAAACTAGTAAATGGAGTAAACAGTATCCGAACCAGTGAAAACTACTAATACATTTTGGGGAATCATTTTTGCAAATTAATTATCCCTTAAATGGGTTTTGGGCTAATTTACCCAGCTTTTATATTTATAAACATATTGTAGAATTTTTTTTTAAATATAAATTAATGAAAAATGTATATATATATTTATACTTTCTTAAACTCGATGAGAGAAAAAAGGTGAAAGAGAAGCTTTTTCTTTTTTTCAAAAAATATCAACTGATGTAGTACTTTTTTTATTAAAAATAATTGAAAAATAGATTATAGCATAACTAAGGACGAAAAAAGGAATAAGGTAAGAGCTGTGGGTTATAATAAGGGTTAGGGATTAGGATACATTAGTGAAATTTACTAATAATGTTATTTTCCTAAGACCTGGATTTGACTTTGGATCCAGTATGGAAGGGTGTGGGTGGGAATAACGTTAGTAAGATATTTACTTTTTTTTCTTATAGTAGTATCTTTCTAGACGCGAATTTTGACTTTGAACATTAACAGTGCGTGTGGGAATTATGGCTTTGGAACGTTAGTAATACCTTTACTAATATTCCTTTTTTTTCTTGTAGGTATCTTTCTGGATGCAGATTTGACTTTAGACTTGACTATTATACATTAGCAGAATTTGCAGTTAAATTTTGTTATAATGGTCTCAATTTGTAATTTTTATTTATTAAAGTGAAAATCAGAAAAATCTAAAATCTAAGAAATATACTAATGTTTCTTTTTTTAGTTTTGTAGGTTCTAGCTTCTCTAAAGAATACTTTTGATGGTAAGTTGGTTTTTTTGAGAGAAGCTTCTCCATTTACCCACAAAAATGTATTCATACTTCTTTTTATTTTGTTGCAGGTATTAGTTTCTCCAGAAGGTGCTTTCAATGGTAAATTACCTTTTTTGAAAATGGAGTTCATCACTAGTGCTTTAAGAAATGTACTAATGTTTCTTTTATTTTTTGTTGAGCTTTGATTTTTAGGTGATGGTGGGTGGTAATCAGGCCAATAGGAATTTCTGTTTAAAAATAATTTATAAATTTTTTTAAAATTTTTTTTTACTATTGAATTTTGAAAATATGAGGAAGGAAAAAGTAAAAAAAAGAAATCTAAAAATTAGATTTCCATGGTTGGGGAATATTATATAAAAACATTTTTTTTAATATGTATAGTATGAAACCAAATTTTTGGGGGGAGGAAGAGGGATTTAAAAAAATTGATAAAATTTTGTGTCTATTTAAATTTAAAAATTTTGGGGATTTTGTTAAACAGTACATTTTTATAGGGTTTGGATACGATTCTTGGATAATGGATGAGTTTTGAATTGATTCAAAACTTTTTTTCTATAACTGATGTGACTTAAAAATTTCATGTATTTTTATTGTTTTTATAATTAATATAAATTTGTACTATTAAATAAACTGAATAAAATAATATCAATAATGATATTAATAACAAAACATCTTGATTTTGCAATAAACATTGTATTGTTGTAACGTTGGTATTACATCAAAGGGTCTGATGTTCAATGTATTTTTATGGTGAACATCTAGAGGTTAACATCACTTCCGTAACTTGCTGATGGTTGTATTTTTGATATTGTCGTGATTTTACAGTCCTTTATAAAGATTTTAATTAAGTATAAAATTTAAATCTTTTTAATAAAAAGAATGAATTTTTAAATATTTATGACTATTGTTAAGGTTATATTTTATTTTTATTTTATTGAAATATAACTATGTGAGTGAAAAATGAGTTGTTTATTAATGAAATGGATTTTTTTCGTCTATTTTATTTGAAAAACTAAGTTTTGAGAGCGTAGATTTTAACTTAACATATTATATATATTATTACAACACAATTTTGGGCAATAAAATTATGAAAATCTTTTTGTTAAGGCTTGTTAACGCAAAGTAATCAAATCCGCCGATATGAAGTGTCTCTACGGTATATTTTTCAACATCATCATACAAAGAAGAATTGATTATTTATTTTTAAATCAGAAAATAAAAATTTATTTATTTATTATTTTACATTACAATTTACGTGACTATAGCAAATTGCAGACCAAGTAATTTTTGTTTTTTTATTATCATTTGTAAAAGGCATAAAATCCTTCGCTTCGTATTGGACAATAAACATTATTTAGCTTATTCCAATAATTGTGAATATTCTATTGATTTTATTAAGAATTTGGTCAATATTTCCTTTAAATGTTTCTTATTTAAAACCTACTAGTATCAATTTATTGTGAATGCAGGAATGAATGTAACCAAATACTTGGTTTTGTCCGATTATTAGTTCGGAGTTCTTAAGATTCGTCTCACCCAACAGATCTTCTTTAATCTGCTTGGCAGTTGTTTCTCGTAGTAAATGATCTTTGTTTCGAAAGTAGACCTCAAAAGAATTTTTGCTGAGTCTTCATTCAGTAAGATACGCACGTTACGATGCATGCATGACCTATGGACCAGATGCTCTTCTTCTCCACACCCACAGAGCAGGACGTAGCACAATTCATTGATAAATTCCTAAAGATACTAATCTTCAATCTATCCCTCATTTGATATGGCTTTCCTACTTGTTCTTGTTCTTTGTCTACATTTTCGATGAGTATGTCAAGTTCTATACCTAAAGAATTGTACGAAACCTGTATTGTTGCTGTAGAATTTTTTTAAAGAAAAATTTGTATTAAATTTTGGTATTGCACCATTCGGAACAGGGCTTCACCCATAATCAACGTTAGCGGTGTTAAAAGAATATTGAATCATAGATATGATTAACATTTACCGCGGTATTTGAGTTTAATAAAATATTTCTGTAATCCCTTTTCTGGCATACTAGGTTAAAGACTAAAGGAACGTGAGGAAATAAAATGTGAAACTGAAAAACGCAATTAGTTTTTACAAGCTAGAGACGCAAATAGTATTGTGTAAATCCAAAGCAAACCGTAAGCTTTCATACATAATAATGCACATAATATTTTTGTAGGCGGTATACACGGAGAATTAACAAGTACCAGGTACTCTTCTTTTTTCTTTTCTTTTTTTTTGTGTCTTTGTTCATCACATTATTTATGTTTGGTTGATTAAGTTACTAATACATTAAAAAAAAAATCTTTTTTTATTTAATTTCTTTACAAGAAAAAATTTGCTTTTTCGTTCAGATAGGTGATGCGGTACTGCGGTTAACACCGAATTTTCGTATTTTTTTAATTTCTTTTACTAAAAAAATTTTTTTTGTCTTTTCAGATCCAGTTCAGCGTCACGGTACTATGGTAAGCGCCAAAATTCATTTCTTTTCGATCTGTAAATTATTTTATATAATTTCTTTTACTAATTATTTTTTTTCGTCTTTTTTAGGTCCAGTCGTCCAGAATGGGTTCAGTGAGGCGCTGTGGTACTATGGTAAGCGCTGAATTTTTTTTTTGCATCGTTAATTTCTTTCACTAGAAATTTTTTTTGCCTTTCTAGGTTCAGATAGAGTTTGCGAGCTGTTGCATTACAATGTAAGAATTAAATATTGTATTTTTTTTTCGGTTTGTTATTTTTTTTTTTATTTAATTTCTTTTACTAAAAAATTTTTTTATCGTCAAAAAATACAGTGTGGTCTTTATTAAAAATGTTTATATAGAAAAGACGCATAAAGTTAAGTAGTCTGGTTCTATTCAAACTAAAACTATTTAAAATTGGATTGACAAAAAAAAAATCCTTTACTAGTGATTCTTACTGAAAAGAAGATTCTTTTATATAAATTTGACTTTATTTTTAATGGTAGTTGTGATGGATTTGAAATTAATTCATTTAAGAATAAATTTTAAGGTCAAGTAGCTAGTTTAATGATCAATTATCTGACAAAGTCTTTAATGGTTATAGTTGAAAATAATGTTTCAATTGACGTACTTGATTTTCGATGGTATAAATCATCTGGTAACTTTATCATCTCATTTGAAAATAATGAAATTATATTAGTACCAGTTTTAATTTTGGTTAGGATTCATTATATATTGGAAGTTCGAAATTTTATGTATTTAAAATTGTTATGACGATTATGAAACATTTTATTGTAACTACAAATCAAAATATGGGGCGGATTTGATTCACTCGATGATAGACAATTATATGAAGCTTCCATTAAATTATCTCATGCTTTGTAAGTTATTTATAAATTTCATAAATAAATTTTATAAAAATTACAAATTTCAATTATTTTAATATATTTTTTTCAAAATTCTAATGCTATTTATCCAAAGTACTAAAATGATGATATTTTTTTATTTTATCCCATGTTTACTTATGATTTTCATAAATTTTAACATACAGCATGTAGTGAGGCATAGCGAACATGCTCATATCACCTTGCCGATCATTTTCCGATCACATAATTCCGGATTTTAAAAACTTGTTGAAAAGTCACAAATAATTTTAAAATAATGTGGCAAAAAAATAATGGAAATCCAAGCTAAGTACTAAATTGTCATATAATTTTAATTACGTGATTATTAGTATAATTTTTTTATATTGCTATAACACATTTTTCGTATGTGATAATTCAGTCATTTTTGCGGATCATCAGACAAAAATTGATGAATATTCATGGGCGAAACTTGAAACTTTGCACAAATATTCAAATATTCTCTGTCTTATATACAATATATATTAAAAATAAAACAGTGATACAATCCATTAAACATATTTTTTATTAGTAAGGTATTTAACGAATAATTTTGCAAAATGAATAAATAAATATAAAATAAACCAGTGCCACAAAATTAAATAAATACCACGAAATTACATAAATTAATGCCACGAAATTAAGTAAATTGATGCCATGAAACTAAATAAATCGCAAAATTTAATAAATAATACCATAAAACATATGCTAACAATTCATAAAAATTTTAAAACAATAATAAAAGTTAAAAAGTTGCTACTAAGAAAAGTCACTCAATAACAATCCAATTCTAATAAAATTTAATATAAAACAAATTATAACCAAATTTAAGTCTTTTTTGCAAATTTTGAGCATATATTATTATGTAAAAATTTCCAATAATGGCATTTATATTATGTGATATATTTGAATAAATGATCGACAAATGATTGGCAAATGATCGGTAAAATTGTGATAAAATAGGAATGTACGCTATGCTCATGTGATTGTCATTAAATATAAAAAATCATTGATCCTATATAATAAAATAGAATTTCGGTGCTTAAATTTCTTGAGAACTTTTCAACTCGAAGCCCTTGCCGGTTTTAAGAATGCATTAAACTAATTTAAATTATTCATTGAATTTTTTAACGTCCCAATCAAGTTATTAGTTTATTGTCCTACCAAAATTAGCAGGTACCCAGTGCATCATGTGATACACAATTCAAATGAAAGGTCACACGATTTGGCTAGATTTACGTAGAGAAAGAAAATATTTCCTTTTAAGCATCTTCTGTGTATAATAATAAACATACAAAGGCGTTTCGGCGAAACGCCGTTTCATTTGTCCTATAAACATAAATATTTGAATATACGGTTGTCCCGACTATTAACTTTTTATCCTTTATTTGCAAAATGAAAACTCAAAGCGTTAAATTTTATTTTCTAAACGTAAAATTGAACATATCTCTCTGTACAATTTTTATGTTTCATTTTGTTCTTGCTGATAATAACACTATCGAATATAACAAATACTATTGGCTTATTGATGCCTTCATTGCTTGTGATGAATTGTTCCTTGTGTTCTTTTTTCTTAAATCGGATATTAGAAACAATATTTCGACACATTGGTTTTTACATGGAACAACTGTATTTATTGATTGTGTTAAAACGCAACAGATCTAGGCCTAGGTTTGGCTTCAATTTATAGAGGTGTAATGTCCTTTATTTTATGGATGATTTCATCGGTTATAACTAAATATTCAGGAGTAGGGAATGAAATTTCGCACATACAATTGAATATTTTATCAATCACAGCGATTGTTTTGAATCTTTCTAGACAATATGTTGCAGGTCTTGGTGGCATCTATTTCTTTTTAGGTCTCATTAAAGTTATTATCAATTTTTTTTGAATTGATTGATATAATTCCGATTGGTTTTCATTTCCAAATCATATTTACTATTTGTGAAGGGGCTTTACTTTATCGTAATAATTCAGTTTCAACTTTAAATACTATCATATTGGTAGTGTGCGTTTTTCAAAGCTTTTTTTTTATTGCGAATCTTTTCACAAATTTCACATATGAAAAAATCAAATGGAAAATTAATTTCACATTTTCTTGGGTTGGTTCCTTTTTGTTTAGTATTCCCATACTATGTTATATTTTTGATACTATAACGGTTATTATTTGTATGATTGTTATACAACTTATTCCTTTTTTAACAACCTTAATAGTTCTAGGCATTTTAGCACATATATTTTCATGTATGAATTCCGGGCAGAATTTTTTATGGATTTCATATTTTATCATTTCCTTCATTTTTGCTATTTACACTTGTCCTTATTTATTCAAATATATGCTTATTTGGATTAAAATTACAGAATTATACATACCATTTGATTGCATAGAAGTTGGTCTTTTTTCCATCTGCTTCAAGCATTCTTCATATCAGTAGAGGTTGAATAATTTTTTTCTAGTCAGGTAGGAAATCAGGCTTACTCTTTCCGAAACTCCATCTGTCTATGAATAGAATTCCGATAAAAGAAAATATATTAAATAAACTCACGTTTTCTAATATGTTAAACCGATAAGAATTAGACTAGTAAAACAGTAAAACTTGGCAGTTAATTATTCTGTTAACTAACCTGACCTAAAAGATCAATGTCACTGCTTATTATAAAGTTAAAATAATTATGTATAATATGTATAATGTCGTAATGGCTTTGTCTTAAAAATATAATTTATTAAAAAATAGAGAATATTTTTGTAGGCTTTAAAGTAAAGTCAACAATATAATTAAATACAATCAGCTATTGTAGGACCCCGAGCTATATAAATATAGAGGTAAGGTGCAGAAAAAAAAATTACTATTAGCTCTACGCATTTATTCAGGGCCGGAATTATGATAATTCCAGTCAGCGTCTAAAAAAGGAAATAAATTCCGGCCCGGCATTATCTAAAAAAGGAAAAATCTACGCAATCCTTTATCCTACCTATTTATGTATAGCTCGGGGTCCTGCTATTGTAATGAGTATAAAAATAAAAATTTTACTAATTTTATATATTGAAAATGGTTTTATATACTTATATTATTATTTTGATAATTCATATCTAATAATTGGAAAAATTATTTTCGTATAATATAACGAAGTAACTAATGACTATACATTTTTATGCGTTTATCTAAATCTACATATATCTTATGTATTCTATGTATTTACTAAATTACTAATTACTTTATTTCCCCAAAATTTAATATCGTTAATACCTAACCTAAATACCCCCTCTTTGCTATTTTCTACCATATTATGTTATAATAGTTTTGATTTTTTTTTTGTTGTTTTTTATTTCCTAGTTTTCCCCCATCACTATTATCTTCCCTATTCTTTTTCCTTTTTAGCTCTTTGTAATTCCCATTTGTCTTTCTAACTCATTACATCTCTTGCTTGTTCCATATTTGTTGAAGTTTTCTTATGTAAACATCGAATATTTCCTTTAGGTAGTTCCTTTGATTTTCAGTTTACATGTTCGCCACCATTTCTCGTTGATTAAACCTCTTGTTGCTTCTCTGAGTATATTTTCATTTTGCATCACTGGCGATTCTAATGTTGCTGTATCAAACAATCTTCCTTTAAATAGCATTGTATCTTCGTTGTTATTAACGTTATTTTGACTGACACTTCAACACTTTGTCAACGCTATCTTCAAACATTTTATATTCTGTATCATTGCATCATTTTTACTACACATCCATATATGCTGAACAACGCGAACACTTGTTGTCAAGTATACGTCTGTATACCCCATACTTTACGTTTCCATAAGACTACATATGTCGGTAAAATCTTCAAAAAATTTTTAATCTGAAGCACCTCACTCCTGCATCTTCTCCGTTCGTAACGTTCTTGGATGTCGTAACTTCATTGTTAATTAATTCAAATGATGCATTCCAATCTATTGTAACATTACTTCCTATCGAATCTAAAAAACAATCTTTAACATAATCTAATAACATAAGATCAATTTTAGTACTATTATTTCTTTGAACCATGTTCTAAAAGCTCCTTCTATCGGAATATAATTCCACCTCAAATTATATTTGTCATCCAATATGTTATTCACGTTAATCTCTACTTCCATAATTGTTTGTTTATAACTCATTAATTCTCTTTTATCACTGGCACCTTGATTTCATGCATCGTTTTTTGCAAATCCCTTTTGTCATCCTTAACTAACATATTTATATTCTTTAATTCTAAAATTGTATTTATGAAATTAAAATATATATATAATTTGTTATCTAACTCTCTACGTACACTTCCTATTTTACTATATTCATATAACCATTCGATAATTCCTAGATCTATATACTTTTCCAAACCACCTTTTGTAATGAATTTATTATCATAAAATCTATTGCGAGGTATCCATTCTAATACTTTATAATGACCAATTGCTGATAGTTGGGTTTCTTGAATATATTTGTCAATATTATCATTGCCACTAATCAAATTTTTATAATTTTGTTGAAAATGTTTTGGATTACAGATTAATCGATTAATTAATTAAGACTGTTAATCGATTAAAATTATCAACCATAATTCTGGTCAAATTATCTAATGCGGCACAGAGCTGTGAATTTTGGTCACGTGTTCTCCGAACATGGACGAATTTGTATTAATTTTTTAATGATAATAATAATAAATAAGACTTTCCTATAACTAAATGTATGATCAAAAACAATTTGGTGCAATCTGCGGTCAAAAAAAAAAAAAAATTTTTTAATATTTTTAATATTAATCGATTATTAATCGGTTAAGGTTTTTTTGGTCGGTTCCAACCTCTAGTTTTACACCATTTATAATCAGTGGTATTCTTCACAAACCCATAAGTCATTCATAGTTCAATAGATAAACTTAGAAACCTTTATTAAATGATTAATAAAAATGTTGCTACTCAAACAGCAGAAAAGCTGAATGTTACCTTGGAAAGAATTTTTTTTTTCGATTTTACGCGTGTTATGAGGCCGCAGTGGCTTAATTGATTATTTAATATCAAGTTTTTATAGATATAGTTAGTTTTTTTATATTATTGCTCTTGTAGTTAGACATTTATAGATTTATTTTACATTTACTGTTTGATCAAAGTCTATTGGGCACAACAAATTGTTCATTGTACAAGTTGATCAAACGTCCCATTGGAATTTTACGTTAATAATAAATATCCTCAGGATTGGGGAGGGAGAAGGGTAAGTTTTTTTGGAGTTGGTGAGGCAGTAACAAAAATTGTATTGCACCCGTAACCTCAAAACTTTAACGTACAGTACAGTACAGTAATACACAATCGACAAAATCGACAAAAATAATACTCTACGACGCTACGTCAAATTAATTCCCATAAAATTTATTATGTATTTGCATGATATATAATCAAATACATAATTTTCATAATAATCGATAAAAAATTTTTATTGTAAATTATTTGGTGTATCAAAATTCTTTTCTATAACAGTTAAGGTACTAGTATAAATCTCCTTATTACTCTTTATAATAAATAAATTCTACGCACGCTTATTCAATTAGAATCAGTTTAGGCATGAAAAAATTAACATTCTCAGGCAACAAAGTGCGATTGTTTACATCAGAATCTTACTTTACAAACATATCATAAATTGAAAATAACAACTTTTAGTATATAAAAATTTTCAATTTAAAACTTTTAAGCTATTTCTTCGACTTTATCAATTTAAGAAGTTGTCATTTGAAATCGTGCAATTAAATAAGGTGTGTAGTAAACTTTAAAAGTCAAAGCTATCCTCATAAATTTATGAAATTATATACAGATTACATTCTGAAAAATTCTTCGCTCTTTGTAGATTATCATTATTATAAGGATAATTTGCAAGAAACTAATCTATTTGTGACTTTCCTAATAAGGTTAATTTTTCAAGTTTATTTTTTAAATCAAATGCAAATCATAAAGAAAATGATTACTAATAAGATATTAGGACATAAAAGATACAATATCATAATTAAATTTATTCCATTAATTTTACAGATACAATATTGAAATATTATATATAAGAAATCATTTTTTTTAAGTTATTACGATGAATTATATTTACATAGAGAATTTAGAAACAAATTTAAAGTAAAGCGATTAGTATGATTCATATTTGATGCAATGCATCGGTCATAATTCATCAAAGAATTATCGTAAGGATAATACATTAAAATACTAAAATATTATCGCAGCTAGATTATAGTATTCATGATAATACAGTAACAAATTATGTTAATTAGTATGTTAAATAAAATTCTTAATTCGTTCTAGAGTTTCAATAATTAATTTGTTTATTTATAATAATACAAGTTATTGATGGGAAGGTAACATATCAGTCACTCTTACGGGGTGACCGATATTTTTACCCCATCCAATATTAAACCATAATTTATAATTTATTCGTTAATAATAAATTATTGATTGGATATGTTAAAGATTTCAATTTCTTTGATAGTATAAACTGTATCAGTCTTTAAATTATTTTCATAATTATTGCTATGATTATTAGCGTGTAAATTTATATTATTCATAGATAATGAACCCCAACCAAAATTAAATCCACTACGATCAATATCCAATATGGCTTGAGATTTATTTACTACCCGGCTTATTTTCATATGTCGAGTATCTTCGCTGTTTTCAAATGAGAAAATAAAATTATCTGATGAATTGTAAAATCGAAAATCATGATAATCATCACTATTAATAAGAGTAAAATCATTTCCTAATGAACAAAACCCGATAGAACTATATCCACCAAAAACTTTATTTGTATCTTTAACTTTAATTAAAACTAAACTTGCTACTCGACCTTTACATTTTTCTCTGAATGATTTATTACTAATTCCATCACGACTACCACGATAAATAAGTTTAAACCTATACAATTGATCATTTCCAATCCAATTAACTATTAATTTTGCGAGTATTGGTTTGATGATATTTGACTCAATTTTTCCTATTTCAAATGAATAACCAGTTCTAGGTGGTAAAATTGTAGTTTTAGGTAAGGCATCCTTATAATAAAATTCTTCAATTTCTTCATAAATATGATTAGGAATAATAATTCTATAAGGACGGACTTTATCAAAAAAATCTGCACGAGAAATTTCCGTAAATCGAATTAGAGGAATAATTTGATTTAATGTTTTCTTCAATTCTTCATAATCCTTATTATTCCATTTCGCTCTATCACTATTCTCATTCCCAAGACCAGAAGTTTGTTCAATACCCCATTTAATTAAATAATCCCAAACGATAACTTCTTTAATTTGTAAGTCGTCTCTTTCAAGCAAGTCAAAAAGTATTTCCTTATTTAATGAAGGAAAGATTTTTGAAGAAAAAAATGGTAGAGGATTTTCGCAGATAGATTTAAAACAATAATCTTGTAATTTCTTGCAATTATCAAGTCTAAACACAGCATTAAGAACAAGAACAAAATTTTTATCAACCCATTTGGTTTGTTTTTCGATTAAATAATCTCGAACATGTTTAAATAATTCTTCAAGAAGTAATTCATCAGATGCAACTAGCAAACCAAGAATATTTTCACCTGATTGTTTAGTTAAATCAAGTTCACCAGTATAAATATATCTAATAAAAAATTATTTATATTTAAGAATAAATTAATAAATTTAAATTTCAAAAATTTATAAATAAAAAAAATAAATAAATAATTCTCACTTCAAAATCATATGAAAAACAGTTGGAGTAATATTTGGTTTGTTAAACATAATCATATTATCCTTTTTTGTAATCCAATTAGTAGAAAGAGCAACTTTAAAATAAGGAGAACGAGCACGTAAAATAACAGAATGTGCACGAAATTCCTTTGTATTTTGGTTTTCACCAACTTGAATAATGACATTGTAATCATCTGCATCATCTAATATTAAGGAAAGGTCTTCTGAAAGACGAAAGTGAAAATTTGAAGCCATTTTTTTTTAATAAAAAAAAAAGAAAAAAAAAAGTGCTATTAATGTCATGTTATGGAAATAACCATGTGATTTACGGCTTAAATATTTGTAACGTTGCACTTTATTTGTTTTTAACGAGATCTGCAATGTTTTTAATTGAATCCGACAATGATCAACCCAAAAACTAATTTTATAGTATGAGGAACCTAACCGATTTATTGTAGCTAATCAATATTCTAAATTGATTATCATTCAAACTCTAAAAATATTAGTGTATAATTAGGATATCAAACTAAAATTGGTAAACTAAATTCTTAATTAGATGAATATTAAAAGTAATATTAGCGAAGATAAAACAAATTAAAATATCATAAAAATCGTAAAATACAGTATATAAGAAATACGAAATAGAGTTTTTTTTTTTTAAAGAAAAAATATTTGGTAATAGTATTAGATCAATTTGAATTATTCGTATTTAGGGACCGTAGATAGTACAACGACTTTGGCGCAAATCATAACAAATTTTGGTAGATAGATATGATATGTAATTTATTATATATACTGTATTATATATTCAATTTATATATTTCTTTTTTAAAATTAAATAAAAAATCAGTACAATATTTACAATAAGTCTAAAAAAATTCAATCATTTATCATAAACAAAACAAGTTTAAAAATTTTATTAAAGGTACTCATAAATTCAATTTAATGTTATTTGATTATTCATACAACAATGCTAAATTTATACACACATTTTGGTATTACCATTTTGAACAATAATGGTGTAGTTAGCCGAAAAACGGAGCCGAATTCCTGATTGCCAATCATCCGGACACGGTTTAATTGCAGAAAATCCCCTGGAATTCCACGACGATCTACGCCTGTGCCGGGTCCGGATCACGATGCGACCGATGCGTCGTTGCGGTTAATATTTTTCGGCTAACTACACCATTATTTTTGAACACGATTTTTTTTTCTTTTACTTTTTTTTTAAAAAAAAGAATCATTTATTACCACATATTAATTAAAAGTGGTCTGATTGTTCTGATTGTGGCGCAAGGGAAAAAACGTGGCAAAATACTCTCATAACGTCTCTTTTACTTCGCCCTCATTAATAAAACAAATGATTGCGGCTCAAAAATCAAAATTTCGTATTCTCACATTACATTATTAATTCAAAGTGGCTCTGCTCTTTAATCGTGGATTTTAATGTGGCGCAATGCAGGAAAACGTGGAAAAAATACCCTTGTACGTCTCCGCTTTTTACTTCACTGTAATAATATGAAACAATGACTTGAAATACGTGTTACTTAGAAAATTTTTCTTGTATAATCACTTAAAGAGGAGAAGAAAATCTCTTAAATAAAAAATTAACAAACAACGAATTAAAGATTTATATAACATACATAAAATCAACTATGAAATTAAAATACTCATTGTTATTGATTTTTGTCTTCATTTTTATTTTAGCGGGTTAGTAATAAATGATCATTTTATGTCAAAGATTTTCACTTTCTTATATTAACTCACTAAATTGGAATTTTTTAATATAATATTGTAATGCAGATGCAGAAGCATTGAATGAGGATAAACGTGACACAGAACCACAACATGGCTTATGGAAAAGGAGAGTCACAAAAGCTCCCTGAATATGTCCGGACTCCGGAATATGTATTTCTTTTGTCTTTTGACCTAAAAAATGACCAAATCTGCTATCCGATTTTTATGTCCGAAATTGTCTGGAAGAATTTTTTAATACAGGATGTCCAATTTTTCAAAGTGGACAATCAATGTTCGGATAATGTTGAAAGATAGACTAAATTTCATACAAATTCTGGACAATATATATAGTTCTGATGTCTGAACTAACACAATATAGCAATAATAGCAATAATAACAACAACAGATAAACTTTAATAATATTATTTTAATGTTTTCTTATATATTTTCCTAATATTTTAATAATAAATTGATTTTATTTTACAATTAATTTTTTTATAAAGAAAAATCAATTCTTTAATTTAAACAATGTTACTGATTAATTCTTAATTCATCAACAATGATTAAGCCTTTTATTGGACAGATAATGATAAAACCACTCTACATTGTAGTGATATACTTATGTAATTTATTACTATTTATGTAAGAGGAACTTAAACGTTAAACAAGATAAAAATAGATTTGATACATTAGATAAACAATAAATTATATATATATACAAGTTAATAAAAAATTTTTCGCTCCGGACTTACAACGGTTTCCGTTTCCTAGTTATATGTTCATGTATTTCATTAAATAACAAATAAATCCTAACATAACAGATAATATTATTTTGATTATTTAAACTTTTCATCTCTTTTTTCAACAAAATAGTTAAAACATAATCCATTACGTAAAAATGAGGCATATTTACTTTGATATCATATGGCAATGCTGAATTATTCACACGATTTTGATATTATCATTTTGAACACGGACTTTTATTTTTATTTTTTTTAAAATAAAAATCTATTTCCACATTATTAATTTTTCGTGGCGCTGTTCGTTCCGATTGTGGCGCAATGTAAAAAAACGTGGCAACAATACTCTCGTAACGTCACTGGCTCAAAATAATTATTGACATCAAAATCTCGCATTCACACATTATTAATTTAAAGTATAAAGTTGCTCTGCTCCTCAATTGAATATTCAACACGGCACAATGTAAAAAAACGTGGCAAAAATACTCTTGTACGCCTCTTTTACTTTGTAATCATATGAAATAAAGTAATCATGAAATAATTTGAAATACATGTTACTATAGAAAATTTTTCTTTGAGAAAGAGAAGAAAATTTCTTAAAAAAAAATAAAATTAAACAAACAACGAATTAAAACTTTTGTAACATACATAAAATCAACCATGAAATTAAAATATTCATTTTTATCATTTTTATTGATTTTTGTCTTTATTATTATTTTAGCGGGTTAGTAATAAATGATCATTTTATGTTAAAGATTTTCACTTTTTTATATTAACTTATTAAATTGGAATATTTAATATAATATTGTAATACAGATGCAGAAGCATTGAATGAGGATAAACGTGACGCAGAACCACAACATGGCATATGGAAAAGGAGAGTCACAAAAGCTCCCTGAATATGTCCGGAATATGTATATATTTTGTCTTTTGACCTAAAAAATGACCAAATCTGCTATCCGATTTTTTATATCCGAAATTGTCTGGAAGAATTTTTTTAATACGGAATGTCTAATTTTTTAAAGTCTGAACTAACACAATATAGCAATAATAATATAATATAGCAAAATAGCAATGATAATAACAACAATATCAACAACATATAAGCTTTAATAATGTTTCTTATATTTTCCTATTAATTTCAATAGTAAATTGATTTTATTTTATAATTAATTTTTTATAAAGAAAAAAATAGTAATTCTTTAAGTAATTTAAATAATCAAAATTTAATTATTATGTTTATACAAATAAATTTAATGAACAAAGGAAAAATTAATGCTAATTTTGCAATACCAATACAATGATTATATAATCCGATTAGTTATGACTTATTACTATACATTACAAAAATAAATTGCAAGATTTTTATCAAATAAGTTTTATTTAGCAATTATAACAAAAATATAATAAAGCAAGTAATAAAAAATTATGTATTTATTACTTGGTAATTTTTGAGATGCTCATATATACTATCAATCAATCCATTTTGATATGCAGTATTTTCTTGATTATATTCTTCATAATTTCCGTTCCGATTCATGGTTTGATAAATTATTCAAAAATAATATTAATTAGCTTATTAATATCGTATACGAAATAAATCAAATATCAGAAAGAAAATAAAAGATTCTGATTCGTTTCCGCATCCGGAATATATATTCCAAATTCCAGTATCCCAGTATTCGTGAAACAAAGCGTCGTACGATTTGAATAATAGTGTAGGCTATACCAATTTTATAATCTAAAATGGAATTTGTACTTTTAAAAGAAATTAAATTCAAATCAATTTTACTGTTTTTACAAGTGTAAAAAACTGAACATATTTTCATATTAAAATAGATAATAAAAAAAATTATTAAAATTATTCTTACTTTAAAATCATTCAAAAATGATTATTAGAATGATATTATTTTCTTTGTAATCCAATTAGCTGAAAGAACACCATTGAAATAGGAAGAACGAGCACGTAAAATAACTGAATGTGCTCAGAGGGTTCATATAGTTATGATTCCTAATAAAAAACATAAAAATTTAATTTATAATGAACAATTATTTTAATCTTAAGAGTCATAAATTTGATTATTTTCGAAAAATTGAAGAATAAAATTAATAAAATTTTAAGATTATTCCAATTTTTTTTAAAAAAATTGATTAATATTGAAGTTAATTACCTCTCATATACTGTATACAGTTTTTTGATTACATTCAATTTTTCAAAGAGTAAAAAATCCATTTCATTAATAATATTATTATTAAATAAAAACATGTGCATTTTACACATACAGTATCTGGTATATTAATAATACATCTACAAAAATTGTTACAGTATCTAAATATCTCATTTTTATTACTCAATCATACACTACTATATTCTTCAGTACGAATAATCATTACATTTCTTATCAATCTAACTTAATTTTCTTGTCTATATCATGGTGTTTTATATAATAAGTATAATTTTGGAATGAATTTTATCAAAACATCATTACAACATATAAATAAACTTAACATTTTCTTTCTCTAACTCAAAATACTTGCAATCCTAAAGAGTATACATATATGTCTAAAGAAGTTTCGATCATTCATCATAAAAAAATTATTTAATATGAAAATTATAAATAGTAAAATTCAAGTTGCAAATTGCAAAGAAGTTGTTTTCATGTACCATCAAAAATTTCACTATCACGTGATATTTGGCCCGCATTACGGCATTATACACTAACGTGTTTTGACTATTATTTAAATTTTATAATTTGCCTAACTAATAATCTTATTCTTCGAAACTTAATTCATTGTGATTTAAATTATCTAAAGTATAAATTTGCAATAACATTGTTTACATAAATTTTTATTGATATACAAAATACGTTTCAATTTCTTCAATAGTATAAATTTTATTTGTATCTAAATTCCTTTCATAATTCCCAATATAATTAGTAAGATATAAACTTTGATTTATCATGCACAATGAACTACGACCAAAATTAAATCCACTAGCATGATGATCCAATATGGCATGAGAATTACTTACTACTCGACTTATTTTCATATTTTGAGTATCTTCACTATCTTCAAATGAGAAAATAAAATTATCTGATGAATTGTAAAATTGAAAACCATGACGAATAAGATCATCATCAAAATCATTTCCTAATGAACAAACTCCAATAGAACTATATCCACCAAAAACTTTATTTGAATCTTTAACTTTAATTAGAACTAAACTTGCTACTCGACCTTTACATTTTTTTCTAAATGACTCATTACTAATTCCATTACGGCTACCACGATAAATAAGTTTAAGCCTATATGATGGATCATTTCTAGTGCGAATATACATAGTATCTTTATTATCAATCCAATTAATTATTATTTTTGCAAGTATTGGTTTGATGATATTTGATTCAATTTTTCCTATTTCAAATGTCGAACAAATTCTAGGTGGCAAAATTGTAGTTTTAGGTGAGGAATCTTTATAATAAAATTCTTCGATTTCTTCATAAATGTGATAAGGAATAATAGTTTTATAAGGACGGACTTTATCAAAAAAATCTGCACGAGAAATTCCTACATACCGAATGAGAGGAATAAATTGATTTAAAGTTTTCTTCAATGCTTTGTGATTATTCTTATTCCACTTAGCTTTATTGTTTCCCAAATCAGGAGTTTGTTCAATACCCCATTCAATTAAACAATCCCAAATAGTAATTTCATCAATCTGCAAGTCATCTCTTTTAAGCAAGTCAAAAAGTATTTTCTTATTTATTGAAGGAAAGATTTTTGAAGAAAAAAATGGGAATGGATTTTCGCAGATAGATTCAAGACAATAACCTTGTAATTTCTTGCAACTATCAAGTCCAAAGACAGTATTAAGAACAAGAACGAAATTTTTATGAACCCATTTGGTTTGTTTTTCAATTAAATAATCTTGAACATGTTTAAATAATTCTTCATCAAGAAGTAATTCATCAGATGCAATTAGCAAATTAAGAATATTTTCACCCGATTGTTCAATTAAATCAAGTTCACCAGTGTACACATACCTAATAAAAATAATTATATATTTAGAATAAGTTAATGTCAAATTTATAAAAAAAACTAAATATTCCTCACTTCAAAATCATATAAAAAACAGTTGGAGTAATATTTGGTTTGCTAAACATAATCATATTATTTTTCTTTGTAATCCAATTGGCTGAAAGTGCAGCTTTAAAATAGGGAGAACGAGCACGTAAAATAACAGAATGTGTATGAAATTCTTTTATATTTTGGTTTTCACCAACTTGAATAATAGCATTGTAATCATCTGCATCATCTAATATTAAGGAAAGGTCTTTTGAGAGATTAAGATGAAAAATTGATGCCATTTTTTAAAAAATTTTTTTTTTTAAAAAAAAGGAAAGAAAAAAAAAGCGATGTATAAGTTATTTTATGGGTTCATTAATATAGGAATAATCATGGTCTCACGTAAAAGGATGAAATAAAAAGTCTAACATTATTAATAAAATAAGTATATTAAAAGGCTTTATTATATATCCGTATATGATCACACTAATGAACAATAATAAATTAAAACTGCTATATTACATTCAAATTATTAATACAATCATTTTTTTAGCGTATAAGTGTTTTTGATCATTTCTAAATTAACCGACTTTTTCGCTCAATTCGTTATTTGCTCTCGATCTTCATGCATATTTTCATGTTTTTGGAAATTTTGGAAATGCGCACGCAATGTGAACTTGAGAAATCAATTTTATAATAAAAAAATGCATAAAAGCTTTATACTTTATGTTTTACGCTTTAATCTAACAGAATTTTTTTTAAAAAATTTTTTTTTTTCTAATAATAACAAATAGATCGATATACATAAGACTTGTGATTTTTTTATTTTATTCATAACGACCCATAAAAAAAACAGTAGCCGGATTTGTTTCCAGGTTACACAATTTTGTATATATATAAAATATATATTGCACATGATCTGGATGATTATTTTCGGTAATTATAAACTTTTTATTGATCGATCATTAATAATTAAATGAAAATAACACTTTAAACAATTCTAATCGGATAAATTCCAAATACCTTTCACTGATAAAATTAGTATACAAGAAAAAAAGAATTTTATCATATCGGAGTTATTCCATTGGTTTCATTGAGTAAAAACTGAAAATGGGATTAGATCTACAATTACAAAAAAAAAGGTTACAAGTAAAATAAATAAAAAAAAATTATAAGAACAAAGCTGTCCAAATATTATTGTAAATATTTTCTCTTGCATATGAAAGTTTTATTGTATGTAATTTTTTTTAATAATTTATTTGTTATATTTTGTTTAGTATTTTATATATTTCAATAAATTACTTAAAATACTTGTAACATAAAAAAATTTTTTTTATTATTATTTTGTAAACAATTAATTCTTCTCTAAAGGAAATTTATTGAAATTTACATTTGTAAATGAAATGAATTGTCTTACACGTTATTATTATTTTTTTTTTATAAAAAAAAAAGGGTAAAAAAAAAGAAAACAACAGATATAAAAAAAGAGAATAAGGATTAAGATTATAAAGTTATATCATTACAATTTTACATTTTCATAAATTAGAGAAGAGATGCTATATGATTATTGTGTATATACAAATAATTATGATGATTATCATTACTGTTGTTATTATGAAGAATAACCTGATTATTAACATCTGATAGGGAAGGGTTAAAATAATTTTTAGATGTTATGGAGTAATCACGTAGTAGGGGTTACTACAACATCACATCCGGGCTACTAATTGGTTAACTTAATTAAATGAAACTAGTCAACTTTCTTTTTAGGAAAGGTTAAAATCATATTTTACCCGTTTTTTTCAAAATTATTTACTCGATAAATTGTAATTTGCAATATTAGCATAAATTATTAATATTGTAGTATTCAGAAGGCAACAATTTCACTAATTAGTAATAAGATCTTAAAAATTATTATAGTCGAAAATTTTCATTATATATTTACATTTATTTGTAAAGAGCAAAAGATTCATAATAAACTGGGTATTGATTTATTTATCACATTTTGTAAAAAACAATTATTATTCGTAATTTTTTACTACTTTAACTAATTTTTATTTTAAAATAATACAATTATATTATATATCTGAAATTTTAAAATTACCACTCCACTAAATAATTAATCCCGAGTAAATTCATAAAAACTTATCAATGAGCCATAATAACTTAGCAGTTTAATACCATACAACTTAAATTCCTCCACTTCATCTTTCATTGAAGCCAGTTCCTTATAGTTTTCAATATCTTCATCATCTGATGTACTTTCATAGGAATACATAAAAGCCAAATACTTTGCTCTTTTCTTTTTCATAATATATTCTTTTATATAAGATAAAATATCTTGTCCTTTTAAATCATTGAAATTATTGATCAACAATTTCTTAATAAAAGTATCTTGTGAATTTTTCAAGAATACTTCAAAATCACTCATTTTAATGTGAAGAACCAAATCTAAATATTCTAATTTAAAAGGAAGGACTTGTCCTAAATTTTGTAATATAATTGAACTACATTCAATATAATTTTCACAATTCGATACAATGATTGTAAGATAATTAAGACTTTGTTTCATATTTTCAATCAGATCTAATAATAAATAAATAATCTGATCTTTAAATTCACTTAAATAAAATGATTTAATATTTTTACAATATTTTATAATTGATTCATGTAATATTTCACTTTGAACTCCAAATTTACTTCCAAAATTCTCTAAATATCCGCCACATTTTCGTAGTAATAATTGAAATGATGAATCATCAATTTGTGATCTCGAATCTATAATTAAAGATTTTAATTTAAATGGTCTATTTAAATTAATAATTTGTTGAATAAAACTATTATTTAAGGAATAACAATAAATGAGATGAACAGATTCTAAAACTTTTAATTGATCAAATATTTTATCTAAATTGATTATATCTTTAAAATTAACGTGACATAATGTGATAGTATTTAAAGTGTTTGAACAATTATAATCTTTTGTTAATAATAATGATTTATATGAAAGAAAGTTTATATCAAAACTTAAAGAAATATTTTTAAGATTTTGATGTAAGTTAATTAATTGTAATATAAGATTTTTAGCTATCATATATGTATTATCACTAGTAGAATCATTATGAATACGAGTATAAAATGTTAAATTTTTAACATTGTGAATAATAAAATTTGGATTTTGTAAAATTAATTCTAAAAGATTATTAAAGTGAGAATTCCAAGTACTAGAAATGAGCTCAATTTTAAGAGTATGTAAATTTGCTTCATTATCAATAATCAGTTTAAAAAATAATATTTGAATTAATTTTTGAAAATTTTTAACCTCATATAAATTTCTTTTTTCAGGTTTTAAAGTCTTTTTAGCAATTTCAGACCACTTGTAAATAGAATAAAAAATCGTATGTGTATTCAAATACCTTATAAAACTAGGATAATTGAAAAGTGTATTTGAAGGAAATAAATTATCCTCAATTCTATATTCATTTAATTCTGTTTTTAAATCCCCATTTAAATTATCTAAGCAAATTTCAATAAACTTATAATTTCCTGTAGGTTTCGAAAATGGGTTTTCCCATAATAATGGAATTGCTAAACGACACCATAATCTGTTAACTAAAATACATGAATGTAAAGTTGAAAAATCATTCTTAAAATACTTTAAAATATCATATGTTAATTCTGGTAATTCTCCCGAGAATATTTTTGAACAAGACATAGTGAGAGAGTAAAACAAAAAGTATTTGTAAAACTATTGGTGTCAGCCGAATAAATTTAATTAATTTTCAGAACGGTGAGCAATACATAAAAGGGTAACAAGAACAATGTGTAGATCCTTCTTTTTTTGGATAATTCCAGGCGGCATTACGTAATTCTAGCCTTTAAATAGATAGTAAATGAGTGCTGATCTCTTGTTACCTATTTATATATTGCTCGGTGATTCCCGATAATAGTCGTACAATTCGTGTCAATTAATAGTAACAGTCGTAACGAAATTAATTGCTGTTCCATGTGTGATCGATAGAATTTCTATAAGGGCATATATATTGTAGCCAATTGCAATTGTGTAAAAAAAGGTTCTCTTTGTATACTGGTATAAAAATTTTTTACAATCAAATAATTACATATTATTGTATGGGATATACTTGATAATAGGATAAAATGGCGCAGCCATTTTTATCCTATTGTTAAGTATATCCCATACAATAATTATATTATCGTTTAGCTTTTTTAGTTCATATTGAGAGTTAAAAAAGTTTATGTATTAGTTTTTAAAAAAAATTATATGTAAAAGTTTAAATAAAGTTTATTAGTCCTTTAAATTCTCAAGAAATTACACATCAATTGCAACAAATACAGGATCTAATTAAAGGATCTAGTACTCAAAATGTTTTTGTTTTTATAATTATAGTGGTTAATTACATACAGTAATACCGAAATAATAAGATTATTTAATAAAAAAAAACAATAATGGTTTTTCGGTTTGGACGGGGAAAGAATGAAAAAAAACAAAAAAAAAATTTCGGTTTGGAAAAAAAATGAAAAAAAAAAAATGAAAAATTTTTAAAAAAAGAAATGAAAAAAGAAATGAAAAAGTGTTTCGAAAGAGAAAAGAAGAAATTTGAAAAAAAAGAAAGAACCGAAAGTAAAAGATCGGTTCAAGAAAAAAAATTAAAGGGAACCGAAAAAATTTAGATTAATGTTTATGTGGTTTATAACTGGCTAGAAAAAGAAAGTTTAAATGAAGATAGATGACTTAACAGAAATTCATCCATATGACAAATTATTCCTTAATTTCATAAAGATCTTGATCCCTTTAAATCTGAAGACTGGGCATCTGTAAGAGAATTAGTTTTAAACAGTGAGCAAGTGAAGAAAAAAATATCAAGCCAAGTCTTGCTAAATATCCTACAATGCTCAAAAGAGCTGGTGCGAGAAGTAAAACGATCAAATAATGAAATGCATGTCAGACTTCATGTCCAATCGAGGTTAACGGTGAAAGAATAAAGGCCAGTCACAATAAGCTCTTCTATTATTATTAACGATGTTGAACACTTGAATACGTTGAACCTAACTCGGTGTGCGTCTTGTTACGCTACTTATACGGTCAGAATATCGATGATGTGCGCCATCAATTTACGATAAGGTATATAATTATAAAAATTATAAAATGATATATTTCTTATTAGCTGTAATTTTTTTTAGGCAGAATATATGGATTATGAATATGACAACCCTCGAGAAGAAGCGCGGATATTTTTGAACGATATAAAGATCTGCTTAAGTTTGCAAATAATTACAGCTTAGATCATCTGAAAGAGTTGATGGAAGTAAGGCTTTCACGATCGGTCACCAGATTGATGTGAGACAAATAAAAAATTTTGCAGAAACTAATAATACCAACCAGCTTAAAAATTATTGCAGTCAATTTATTCTCGAAAGTGGTGGATTATAAAGAAATTTACTAGAGAATTTTTTTATTCAACTTAAGATATTTTTAATCAAATACATAAGCAATTCGTTATATAAACTTGTAAACGTTATATTCAGTTTTAATAGTTTAAGAATTTATGCGCAAGTGTATTGATCTTTTCGTGGTTAGTATAATACACATAATTTCAATCTTTATAATAATTTATCGCCGTAGCTCGCTTCGGTTAAATTTTGTCTGAAAATTATAATAAAGTAGTATTAGTAAAGCTCTATAAAATACAAAATACAATTAATTAAAGCCATATGTTAGTGATAAAGTGCTCATAATTTCATCAAATATAAATTGCTACTAGTAAAAATGTAAAATATGATTGAAAACCCAGAAGCAACATCAATTATATAAATGGTCATTGCGAAAATACAATTAAAGGATAGGATTTTTTTTAGAGCATTGGGCAGAATGTCACGTTCTGGATGACGTTATGAATGTCAAGCTATCACGAGCCTAGTCCCGAAATTACCGTAATCAGGTGATTTGCCGATCAATTGTACGTAAGATTATTAAAAATTTCTCATTTGCTATAGCTACTTTGTCAGAGTATAAAAAATTGTGACATGATCGTCATGTTCAAACAAATGCAAGATTATTAGTAATCCTGCAAAAGAGATGGCTGATTTAACGGGTCAATAGGTCACTTTTTTTTTTGTTTTCTATGTGTAATTAACCATATCGACAACCTTTCTTTAATAAAAAAAAATTATTCAAATCTCTCAAGTTTATCACTTTATGTAAACTATAATTAGCAAATTTTATTAAGAGATGAGAAACATACCTTTTCATTTTAAAGATTTTTAAATTTAAAATATTTATACTTTAATTTATAACCTCTATATTTTTTTTAGAAAATTTGAAGACGATTTTGAATGACATTTTTAGAAAATGTATATTTTTAATTAAATGTATATTTGTTAATTAAGGCGTCGCTACTCGCTAAAACTAACCCTGCTAAAATTAACCTTTTAACAATATGACATATAGTGGGTGACGAGTAATTTTTATTAAAAAAAATTCTCTCTCAAACAAGCAGTAAAAAGATGTGGCACATTTGAAAATTTTAACTTACCTAGTGACCCTAAAGTTCGCTCGCCAACGTGATTATATACCGAATTAAAGATAAAATGGTCCATTACAGATGGAAAAGCTTCTGGTAAAAAGTGAAATTTGCATCACATGATCATCAGTATGCTTCAGTATTAGTATAAATCTTCTTAATATAATTATGCTCCATTTATATTTATTTGATTATATTTCTTTTTTAGTTAGTAATTTTTGAAATTTACATTGACGAATTGTTTATTAGATTATATTGGTCGAATTGGTAGAACAATGTAAAAATTGATGTGAGAAAATTCTTTTGGTATAATAAAAGTAATAAAGTATATATTAGCTCAATAGTCATAATTTTGAATTAAAAAAATCACGAAAAGATTATTTGGTAAAATGTATTATTTATTATTTAAATATTGATAAAAACTATAGGAAAATAATGACATTAAAATTTAGCTAAATTCTTTATTTTTGCATTATAGTATTTATTTTCAAAAATATATACATGTTGTGCCTCAGGTGTATATCTATTATATCAAATATAAATTACAGCATATCTCACCAAACAACAGTAAGTTATTATTATTATAATTAATATGTTAATAAATATAATTTGTTATTTCTAAAAGTGTTTTGTTAACACTACATCAGTCACATCAAATAAGTTACTATTAACTTCCAAGAAAGTAATTATTTCATTATAAATCAAAAATGTATTTTTACAAGCAACATCAAATTGTTATTAGGATTTGGTTTTAAATCCAAAAATTATCATTTTCAATCATTTTTCATAAGAATTTCA